TGACGTGGATGACAACTTAACTAATTCTTACTAGATTAGAATTCTGAGAGGTACTAGGTACCCGTCACAAAACATCCTTATTACGACCATTAAATGATAAAAGCGGACGAAACTTGTAACTTGAGAACGATTATTTTGATAACAAAGTTGAATTTGGGTTACTTTATACCGCACATATCGGTGTGTGTATGTATGTATATGTTAGTTAGCTTCATAAAATTGAGGGAACGTATTTTTCTTGCCAGGTACTCATGCGAAAGAACAAAATCGGGTGGAAACTCGCCCTAGACTTCATAAAAAAAAAATTCGACTTGATTATGTACTTGAGGGAACTTCCTCGGTTTTAACCTTAGCAAGTTGCAAGAGCATAAAATGTTCAGTTATACCCGAACTTAGCTCTTCCATTACTTGTTTTCTGTTTGACCTCTCTCAGCAAATTTTGATGTCCAATTCACCAGTTATAACATCTACCTAAGCGTACAGTAAGAGCAGAAGGAGATGYGTACGAAAAGAGATAAATGTAAATAAAAAATAAAATAACAAACCTAGGTCCCAATGAGTCAATTGGCTAAGCGCACAAAATTACGCAATAAAACTAAGCGGAGGGAAAATTTTGCGAAAATATGCGCGACGAGTTTGATGAGCTGCAAATTGGGGCCATAAAAGCATGAAAGCCCTCAAGGCGCACAAATATCTTTTTCATGTATATGGCTATAACTATGTATGTAATGGTGAGCATATCTACAGTTATGTATAATGTGAGTATATAGTAAATAGTAACGCATGTGTGCATTTGCGCCAATTTTACCAGACATAACAGTCTCACATACACATTAGTTAGTGAGTACAACCCGCGGCGAGTGACAGCGCTGACCTTAACAACAACAAATGCAAAGAAAAACAGGACACCAGATCAACATTGTGGCCGAAATGGGGCAGCGCAAGAATTAGTGCAAAGTAAAATGTTAGGTTAGTGCGTGTGTGAGTATAAAAACTAAGGCGAATAACAATAAATGGAAAATAGAGYAAATGTGCATACRCACACATACATATACAAAATATAAGTATATAAAGTAGCACAAACGCACTACTTGTTTTGGCGCCTTCGCATATGCTAAGCCCATTTACGGGTCTGAACTGTGTGATTGTTGTTYCTGGGCTTGCTTGCATGTCGATCTCTGCGAAAGCTTGAGGCGACCTAGTAAATGCGCCCGCTGGGATTAATTAAGAGCAAAATAACATTGCGAATGCAGGCGAATCCAAATTCCATGTAAGAAAATTTTTGTAGGACATGTGTTAAGAATCGAATATATGCGTGGCACATATAGYAGATACCACATAAAGCAGCAGAATATAAATATGTTGCAAATATGTTTATAAACAAATACACTCAAAACTGTAAAATAACTGAACAATAAAGGCAATAAACTGCAAATTATTATAATCAGGTTATTGTTTTCTTAGTTTAAAGAACACTTTTGTTTCGAAAATCGAAATACTACGCAATTTTATGTATTTATGCACGTTTTTATTTCAAAATCAGCTTAATTTTTAACACACCAAGCCGAAACCCTCGCCTTTATAAATATTTCAAGGAGCCGACTCTATAGTGACAGATATCGATCCAATATAACATATGGTTGCCATACAACTTGCATGGACAGCTAAATCATTTGAAACTCATTGTCAAGAATTTGGGCCTGCATATTATCTAAGGCAGTAATGCAATTCCCGAAGAAATTGTTTAGATCGGACCACTATTGCCTACAGCTACAGCCATGCAAACTGAACGATTGAAATMAWGTGCTTGCTTAGCAATCCTTTTCATTTGACGAGAYATCCTATAGCAAATTTGGCAGCYTCTTTGGTATTTGTKAAGGAAATTATAGCTTCGGTGCAACTGAAGTTAAAGTTTTTTCTTGTTCTCTTTCATATASCGGGGTTTTTAGTGCTTTAGGGATAGCAGTAATATTAGCAACTGTTTGTTTCAATTTCATAAAAAAATTGCATGTAGGCGCGATCATGTTTTGATAAAAATATTTCTACGTGGCGTCCTAGAAAAATTATTAAAATTTTAGAAGATGTTTATACCTTAAGTGGTACACTGTCTGGTGGTCATATGCTTATTTGCCCTTATACTTATTTCCCTGAGAGTGAGGGGAGCATATGCATATAAGGACGAAGCGTCTTTCATATTTTACAAATGTGCTAAGCCAATTTACTTTGGCCTTAGTATCGCATATTTTCCAAAAATGTTGGACCCTTTAAGTACAAGTGGTTGTTTTGGTAGAGGCCGCACTGACCAATATGAATGGTCTGGCTTGCTAGTTTTTTTTCGGCTTCAATGACTCAAATGATTATTGTTTTCTGTGAAAGTACATTCGATGGCATAACCGCATCAAGCCCTAATTTTTTCGGTATGCAATGGTGGCTCATCGTTATGTGTGGATTGYTTACTGACCATTAACGTATATTTTGCTTATTGACCCAGCCATTCAGCCAACAAGGAGCATCATCGCTGAAGATGATTGTTTAATGAAAATCCGAATCATTTTCAAATTGTTGCTCSGCCCAATTCACGAACGTACGACAATTGTGGTGCTCAAGCGGTCTCAATTCTTGCGTACATTTGATCAAGTGAGAATGTAGGATAAGACTTTTTCTCAAAATTCGCCACAACGACGTCACAGAGATGCCAAATGCTTGAGAACGACGTGTGAGAGACTAATTTGGGCCTTTCTCAATTAATACCCTAGCGGCGGCAATACACTGCGGGCACTTCTTTATCTTATATTATAACTCTCTCCATGATGAAATGGCCAACCTAACTGAAGAGAAATGTCAAAAGACCATGGAAAAAAATGGCGTCGTTTTCTGTCCCTATGGGTCTACCTTTGTAGCGGCCCTATGAAAGGACCCGATACTTTTGTGACTGAGGATTCTAAATCATTGTTGCTTTGCGTAAGCGACCAAAAGTTTTCGCCAGAAACTTTCTCATGATCTTAGCTTTTGCGTTCAGTTAAAGTGGACATAACAAGAAATACTTGATATATTTCGAAACCTAACTCATTAATGTCATACGTTATCCAAATGAAAAATAATAATTTTATTTTAAATTTCATGACTGACATATTTTGCAGTGCTTTTATTGCTATAAAAATAGAAAAACTTGTCCATATTCGATAACGTAGTTAATAAATACTATTTAGTGCCTTATTCTTATCCATACTTGAAGGAGAATTTACAAAATTTTCAGTCTTACATTTTCTATGATTGTCGCTTCCGTATATGTTTTTTTTTTACATTTTTTATTCTGTTATTAATATTTTCTTGAATTTCCCATGACGCCCGTCTGTTGTTTGCTTCATGTGACAGTTTCGCGAACTTTGTTAAATTTTTTGTGGCAATTTGAGGAGGTACCTCACATTTCGCAGCAACTCTCATTGTGCAATTTTTTTGTTATCAGAAGTTGGTGGGAGTTTTTTTTCGCTTAACAATTGCGACTTTTGCATATTTCCCAAACTTTTCCTTCTTCCTGCTCTCACTTTTCCACCACTCGACTGCCTTTTTCATTGTTTTTACTTTTTCTTAGATAAAAGGGTTGCGTAGATAAATATATACTAAAATAAAWTTTTTAAAGCAGTTTGTATGCTTTTTAAGAAATAATTGTTCCGTGCTGAGAGTTGACACTGGGCTTCTAATTTTATCAATTGTGAATACATGATTAGTAGACCAGCACCCTGTGAGCTTTTTACAGCAAAATCTGTAAAGTACAGTAAATTGGAAAGCTCTTTAAATTTGATGCCTCTTTTTTACGCATTTTCTCCGATTGGAATTCTGCAACGACAACAGTTGGAAAGAACTTAATATTGATTTTTGGATTATTAGTAAAAATCTGAACGGGCTACTAAAGCCTATTAAAAGGGATTCCATATCTTGTCACATAAAAAAAGTATGCCATACCAAAACTTCATTTTTGTTCGTTAAGTTCGTATGGTAGCTTTTTGCTATAGAGGCCCAATATCAGCTATTTCCATAAATGATCAGCTTCTTCAAATTCTTCAATCCAAAAGGTATGCGAAATTCCAGGTGGATATCTCTAAGCCTGTGCAACTAGTTGGGGTTTGCGTCGTGTAGCTCCTACAGCTCATGGCACCATCGACTGCAATATTCGCCGTTGCCAATGCGCACACTCATCAGATCTTATCATCGTCCATGTCTCCGCACCATATATTAGGACGGGCATGATGAGTGACTTATAGAGTTTGGGCTTTGTTCGTCGAAAGATGATTCTACTTGTCACTTGATTACTCAATCCGAAGTAGCACCTGTTGGMATAAGTTATTCTGCCAAAATTCTGTCAACAGTGACGTGGATGACTAGTCRCTTGAGCCATATGTAAAGAATCGTTTCTGGTCACTCCAAAAAGAATTTCCCTAACTTGCGTGAAGTTCTTCACATGGCTCCATTCTCTAATAATAAGTTAGTCAGAATAATTCAGATAGTCACCATTTAAGTAAGAGTTGAGCTGGTTAACGAGTGTACTAAAGCTTCTTACTTTCCACAAAGTTCGCGTTCCCGTTCGCGTATGATTTGTTCTTATCCYCTTCTATTGGAATCTTTTCGTGGGCGAAGTATCGAATCCGGGATGTTAAAGTTTTTGGTTCTGTGATATAATTTGGGGGCAGTGGATGAAGGCCTTAAAGCATAGTTGGATAATATATTTTCCAATGACACAGTTTGAACTCCCCTACCCAATATAAATTGCACTCAAGGGTAGGAAGCTGAAACCGCTTGCTAGAAACTAAATTATGCTTTYTTGACACGTCTTAGGGTGACTTTTTCCCAAAACCAATAATGTCTCGGAAGTTTGGGCAAAGAAATAACTTTTTTTCTAATTCGAGATTTTCATCTGAGTGAAGAACCGTCACCGACTTGCTTAACTAAACCCTAATACTGTTTTTATATGTAGTTATAATRTATCACTTATTTACTTGCAGATCCGACTTGGAGCACTTACGATCCGTTTTCATGGCTGTCGAAAATGGCGATCTCGGCATGTTGAAGTCGCTCGGCATTAAAGACTCCGAACTGGGTGATGTGAAGTTCTTTTTGGAGAAATTAGTCAACACCGGTTTCCTAGACTGAGTGGCGCCAGATCCCGCTTCTGGATTTTATTATGCACACGCACAACCCATTAACCCCAATTTTTACTCGTATTTGGGCACACCCTATGACAACTACAACTACTAAATACWTACGAACACGTATTTGGTTTAAGTAGGTAAAGTAGGGAGACGCCTTATTTACGAATAAAAATCAAACACACACACACACAAGAGCAGACATACACACCAACAACAAAAMCAACAACAACAACAAACAGAAACRCAGATACATTGAAGCAGTKGTATAACARAAATAGCAAAAAACRCATGAAAAAGTAGTTGGAACATAATTCTTTCTCAAATCTTAAAGTGAGGGAACAAATTACAGTGAAATCTTCAAGTTTCTTTCCATTTTCTACACACATTACTTTTGTTGGACTTTTATTTGTTTACCGACGTTTCGTTTTGACGTGTGTTTGCCGAATTTTTATAGAAAAAAGTCAAAGTAAAAATCACAAAAAAATTGCAAAAAAAAACTATATGAGACCAAAAAAATCGATTGTGTTTAGAAAAAGTATATAACTGAAAATAGACTTAGGCAGGCGAAAGCGCGGGGCAGCGAAGTAGAAATAAAATGCGACAATTACATAGTTCCARGCAACCAATAGCAGCTATGTATGTGTGAGTAGTTGATGCGCCTTTGCGGGCGGTGCGTACTTCCGGGGATTGCATGAGCGAATGCAAATTACAACAAACATAATATTATGACTGGTTCTACTGCTACCAACTATGCTTTGTTTGTATGCTTTCTTTGCGCACCTTTTGCTTTACTCACTAGCTAAACGTTGCTTTCTATTCGACACCAAGTCTAGGCGCTATATTGAAAACTGAAATTTTTGAGAAAAGAATAGTGTACATTAAAAAAAATAACAACAACAAATAAAAGTATGAAATAGTTAATGGTTTTCAGTGGTATCTCAATGTGTACATTCCAATTCAATCATATTAATAATAAAATGTGGAAGCAGGATCGATATGAACAATGAAAAAAACAAAACGAAATGAAGAAACTAAGAAAAAAATGCGATAAAATTGAGCAATTACTATGGAAAATAAACTAAATGGCGCAAACAAAATGCAATGTGTATGGTGGAGAATAGAAGAGTGCAAAACACAGGCATTGCAGCAAAAAAAATTAAAATAAAATAAAAGAAATAGTAGAAGTTTCCGAAAATTTTGGAAAACTAAAACAAAAAAAAAAAAAAAAGAAAAAAAGAAAAAAAAAAAAAAAAAAAAAAAAAAAAAAAAAAAAAAAAAAAAACACACAAGTAGTGCAACAAAAATGCAAAAAATAATGTTGTACTAAAAAACCATACATAAAAAATACAAAACCTAAAAAATATTATAAAAAAAAATCTTTAAGAATCTCTTCATCCACTTATGAGCATGACTAATGCCGTAGTACAATTAGTATGTATGTATCTCACAATGGCTATCAGTATATACCTTCCAGCTAAAAACCAAAAAACAAAAAACAAAAACCAAACACTTAAAACTACGAAAATATAAATTTTTTTTTTTTATTAGAAAACAAATAGCTGTAAATTTTTGAAATATTTTTTGTGTCAAAAAATCCGCTCTAAAGTGTGTAGCTAAAAAAAGGCATGACTGCGCAAAAAARAATATATTTTAATTAAGTAACTGCATTTTCAAATCATTTACATAACAATGTGTGAAACTTTTTCTCTTACAATTAGCATTAGGCTGGCGAAAAAGTATAGGCAAATATTTGACTAGACATTGTAGGCCAGTAAAGTAGGTATACTAACTGAATTTATGGTAAACTAACACATATCTGCATGTATTCAAAATTAGAAAAAGTAGTTTTAGACACAAAAACAAAAAAAAAATAAAAAATACGAAAAAACCACAACAACCCCAGCAAGCCCTGCAGCTATTTAAAAAAAAAAAAACCCGGTTTTCGAAATGAAAAATTATTAAAATAAAGCAAATAAGTTTACAAAAAATATTTCTTGTTAAAACACACACATACATATCAAATTTAGCATAGAAATCATACTTTCCAAAGCATAATGGCATTTTAACATGCTTGCGACAGCGTTTAGTGCGCGTATCTATGAGAACTCAACAGAAAATAATTTTAAAAAAATATTGAAGATAAATCTAGGAAATATTGAAATATTGCTATATGTACGTATGCATACTTGAAAACTTAAGTCCCACAAACGACGCAGGAAATTACAAAATATAGCAAAAACTTATAAAAAAAAAAGCAACCCTGACTTGACGAGTGAATWAGTTCACTAAAATATTATAAAAATTTCAAAATTATGTACTTTAGTATGCGTTCACAAAAACAGACTCGAAATACTTGAAAGAAATGCAAAAGCAAACGTAATTTGTGCGAAAGAGCGGCAAAAGGCGAAGAAGATGACACTTGAGTGACAGTTCGGCGCTTACGCACGCCGACTGCACCGCTTCGAGCTTTTACATAGTTATATATTATATAGCATGCATATACTGCATATTTACATATGTATATAAGCATACATGCATACATATGTGCAGATGATCGCGAAACTATTTCATATCGTAGTTAACGGTTCATGGTTCGTTATAAAATGGCAAATTTAGAAGTGTAAAGAAATTATTAAGCAAAACAAGCAAGTTTTTCAGCGCTAAATTTTATTTCTTAGTAAGTAATGGCTGTTCTTTAACGATTTACCTTTTTGTTTTATAGCTGCGTTCCTTTTTCTTAAAAAAAATATAATATTCTCATAAAAAAAAAGATAATGAAAAACATTTAGTAGCCTTGCGCTGAAGGAGTGCTCGATGCCGTTAGCAACTATCTGACCCAATCCAAACCCACGTTGATTTTTATGGAAAYTCGACAGTTTGAAATCTTTAAAAATCAAAAAAACATAAAGCATAAAACATTTTAATCCTTATTTTTAATTTTTTGTACTGAAATTTAGTGTTATCAATAAAAAGTTATGTTAACTATTTTTCTGTTAAACAAAAGATATCAGTTTTCAAAACAATTTTTTAAGCGAATTATTTATTTCTCATTTTTTGAGTCAAAACTTATTTTGTGTATATTTTTTATTTAGGTTATTTTGTTATTAAATACCGCAGTTACATCAAAGTATTATTTTTTCCCCCTAAAATTGGACTTAGCTAGGTTAGGCTAAACGGGCCGGCTGTCACGCCATGTATAGACCTACTTGTCCTCAGTAATGCCAGATGAAGGGTGCTTTAACACTCCTTGTGATGTTCGATTGGAACTTGGTATGTAATTTTAATATTTCCTCCAGTCCCTTGAACTGCGAAGCTCTTAGACAGCTAACACGAGTTTTGGACAAGTAGAAGTAGAGAAGGCATACCACCGGCAAGTGCCATCTTTATGAATGCACGAATCTGATGCCAGTTATGATCCGTAGGCGAACAATTGTCCTGGACTCCTTTCGAGACCGTGTGAGTAAACTGAATGCCTTTTTTCTTCGGGCCCCTTACACATGATCATGGCGCGCCTGCGCACACTTAAGACATACAATTTCGTCTTGATCCGTCTGTTAGCTTTTTCAAAAATTTCATTGTGTATCTTGAAACCGTTAAAACGTGGCTTTCCTATTTTTATACGTATTTCCTGTAAATTTTTAGAAATCTCATGAGCTATGCCGYTTCGCGGAATTTCTTTATATATGCTGTCCGGCTACATCTAATGTCACCCTGTTTSTATAGACATTCTCAGACGTAAAACGAAATGACGTTATTTCCAACTGGCTACCGACGTGTATATTAGCCTTCGTTAGTTTGTTCCCTCCTTCCTGTTAGTTATATCATACGATTTTCTGATCGACAAGACTTCYACCTGGAAAACACTGCAATATTCTGGAAGCTTGAAGAGTCACCTGAGATTCCGCTCCGAACATTAGATTCCGGTACCCACTCCATTAGCCCGTTTTGAACCCGCTTAGTTTCGCTGGCGAGTCGCATGTTGCTACGCTATCTACTTATCTTTCTACTTATCGCGCTATGGACTTGGTTATATATATGTTTTTTTCGCAGAGTACAGGGTAATTTTGGAACCGTTCTTAGTTGTGAGACAAGATATATAAAACCCTAAGTTTATTTTTGKAATCTTGCGATTGCCATAAATTATGTTCCGAAGATTTTTGAATATGATATCGTTTCTAGTATAGCCGAAAACTAAATTAAATATAATCCTTTACTTTCAAGGTAGTTCTTCCTTGTGGAACGAATTTTTTAGGTCTCATAATTCAGCCTGCAAAGTCTGTTTAAAAAGTTTTAGCTGCTGAGYTGCTTTATTTACCCTGTTTCACTTTTTATGTACTTCGTGTTTCATCCAATAAGTCCGTAGGATAAGTGATCTTTAATCAATCCTTCACTGACGATGGTGATTCCTTTTTAGAGAAAGTCGATGGATATTACCGTACGCATCTCAAAATGCGGATGGCATCATCGTACCGGCCGACTGTTGCCTTGCGTTTTACCTTCGCTTTAAATTCGATTCGTCAACTGCTGTCCACTCAGCCGACAGTCTTTTACAACTTAACAAAATCAGGTGAAAAGCTTAGCTGATACAAGGTATAGCCAAGTTTAAAACCATAATATAWTATTTGATTTKGCAACTAAAAAATCATACGGAATTGTAATAAAATAGTGGTACTGAAAACAAAATTTCAAACTGCCAATATTACCTAATATTTTTGACAGACGGCGGCTTGTAAGGCCGTGTTTTGAAAGATTATTCTTTTAGTTTCAAATGGGATCACTAGAAAATATTTAATTTAAATCTAAATCTCATTTAACATTTTCGTATGAATTAGTAATTTTCAAATTAAATTTTAATTATTTCGAAAATATCTATATTGTTTTGAAAGCAAYTAACTGTCGTCTTCATGAAAATCATCATAACGGTATCGATCACTCCGAAGTGAAATTACTTAACTATTATTACTAACAAAACATATCAGCAGACACGAACAGGTAAAATTCGTAGTATTAGACAATTTACACCTAAGAAATATTGAAAACAAGAGCAAAACGAACACAGAGTGCACAACGCAACCYTGTGAACAACAAAATCTTTGAAATTATAAAATAGCTACAGTGAACAATAGATATAACGAATTGGTCAAACAGCAAAATGAAAATCATTAAAGTAGTTGAGAAGCTTAAGTGCGAGAACGTGTTAGACGAAATGCATAGTAAGCTGAAAACTGTATATTTTTATAAAAAAGAAATAATAATAACTGAAATAAAAATAAACACTGAACATGTAGAGCTCTAGAGAATATGAACATTTGCTTTAGAATTTCTACATAACGCAAACAGCAAGCAGGAAAAAGAGAGTAATTTCAACCCAAAGTTTTCACAATAAAAGTTTATATTGAACTCAAAAATAGAGCTATCAGTATAATGCGTACAAAGTCAAACATCACTACAAATCACAAAGAACTCACCGCAAACTACATACCATGGAACCACTCAAGAGACCACTTTGAATAAATGGAGTTATAAGTACCTTAAATTAGAGAGTAGTGAGAAAACAAAAATTACCAACAAACAAAGGAAATAAAAATGAAGAAATTACCGAAGAAAATGTTGAATAATATAACCACTAATCTACTATTAAAATATCTTTAGAAGAAACGCAATGTATATTGAATAACGACTACACTGTGAAAAATATTGTTGTACTCAATGCTATTTAGTAGCTTTTAGAAAGCAGCGTAGACACAGTTATATTGGCAAAAAAATGTTATTATTAAAAAGACTATACGTTTGCTTAGTAAGCTAGAAAGTACACTGAGAAAAACTTACATACAAAATAATGAAACAAATCTTAAAACTTAGTAAACTAGTAAGTACACTGAGCAAATTTAATTTTCGAAATAATAGAAAATGCTAACGTCTAAGCAAACCCGAAAATACACTGAAAAAAATTTATTTTACTAAGAATAAAAAAAGTTTACAATATATGGCTACCACAAAGATAACTGAAATGTATGTGTATAAAATTGTGTATATAAAATATATAAATAAGTAAAACATATATAAAATTTACATATGTATGTCTAAAAGTTGGAATTTACTATTATGAAACAAAGGTGTTATATAGAAAGAGGAAGTGAAAATGAAGGCAGCTCAAAAAAAGAAACGAAAA